CCATTCTTTTCATTTGTTGGTTGCTTGTAACCAATATCAACCTCTTCTTCATCTCTACATATTCTTGCATCAATAGCATGACTCATTCCAGTTTCGCTCATTAATTGTCTCTTTTGCTTAATGCTGTCAATGATAACATCATGAAACTCCTTCTTTGCAATTCCCAAGACTTCTTTCAATGTGAATTCTATCTTAGCGTTTAATATACGTTCTTCCAACACCCCTTTCAAATTTGTTGCCGCTTCAATGTCAGAAAGTAGCTTATAAGCAATTGATTTGCCCTTATCTTTTGTCTCCGTTGTTTTTTCTCCCAATGATGCTGAGGTATCCTTTACAGGCAATTCTTGTGAAGCTGCCTCCCGAGCCTTGTCTCCTCGAGTTTGCCTCTTAAAAGAATTTCCTTCTCTAGTATCATCAAAATTTCCTCGTCTTTTTTCTTCCATCAAAGCTTCATGTTGGCTCTTAGCAATATATGCATGAACTGAAAGAGACTCAACATGATCCTCCCAACCTGTTCTTCCTCGTATTGTAGCTGCAGTTCTCAATAATGCTTCTCGAGGTAATTTCCCTTCTTGCATTGTAGAAACGACAGAAGCCCAATTCCATCATCTACTCTACCACCATAACTTGCACTTTCTCGTACTACTGTTTCATGCTCTTTTAAGTAATCTTGAACCAATGCTCTCATTCCTCCCTTGCCAAAATTGGTTTGAAGAAGATCCTCCCTATCTTTCAATACTATCTTCCCATCTTTCCAGCAAATAATTCCCTGCCGTATCATATTATTAAATTCATTGCAATCTTTTCTAGTGTGTGAAGCATCATCACATCAAATGCATCTTTGTACATATCCTTGTTTTGAAACATTCTTCGAATTGTTTATAGAAGTATTCTCTTCAAGTCTTGCCAATTTGATTTGAAGATCTCGCATTCCTCGTATAATTTCTTCCATATCCATATCTGCTTTCTTTGACAAGGATGTCGAAGGTTGAACTGTAGGCATTGTCGGTGGTGTTGTACGTACTGGAGCTTTGGGTGCTTGTACTGTTTTCGGAATATTGCTCCTATCCTTCCTCCTTTCTTTTTTTGTAAGCAACCCCACCGCATCTTCAACGTTCTTCCACTTCGTTGTCAATCCTTCATCTTCTTCTTTGTCTTCAAGAAGGGGTTCTAATTTCTCTTGCAATTCTCCATCAGCAGCTTGAAGAAATAGATCAACTTTGTTCGGCTCCAATGTCAATTTTTCTACCTTCGATAATTGAGAGTACTGCCTCTCAAATTCCCTTAGTAGCTCTGTTGCTTGCAAATTCTTATTGGGCCGTTCAATCCATCCCAGAAACAGCTTCTTAGTAACGCGATCAGCATCTTCCAAGAAATATTCGTCTTTCAATGCATGTAAAAAATCCTCCCATGAATTCCCACAACGATCCGTAATCGATGTAATGTGGTCCCTTATCTCCGGTATTGTGGCAAGTCCAAATAGTGCAACCATTTTCTTCTTAGAAACCCGATTTAATTCCATTTCACGAACATAACATCTTAAATACCTTGAAATATTCCTCCCATCAAATTGATCAATTTTATTGACCACTGCTTGCAATGCTTTGGTTGCAAAAGCTTCCTTTCGATCATTGCTTTGCTGTTGCTGCATTGACAATGAGAAGGCTTGAAACAAACTAGCAACAGATGGATCCATGTGCATACCTTGTCCTTTAGAAGACTCTCCACAGAAAACTCCTCCCAAAAATCCTTCAAAATTTTTATTTTCGTTTTCCATAAAAATAAAGATAAAATCAACCGAAATCCAATACCTTCTACCTCAAGCTTTCACGTCGGATTCACCACTTTTGTCGTATTATGTGCTTTCCTGCTCGAGAACGCGCCGGGCGTCTGGCTGTAGAAGGTAGTATGGAGATTCGCCGATAGTCAAGCAGTCTATCAGTTTTTGACTGCTGGAATATAAACGACTGCAACAATGTACCGTAAATCTATACAGATGCTCTTCGACTGCTTGTCGAAGTCTTTTTTTTTTTCCCAGCCAGTAGGTCTCTAGACATTACAAAGAACCCCAAACAACCCAAACTGTTAATCTTCAATACCCCTTTGTACTTACGATCTTGTATCCACTGACTGTCCTGTTAGATTAACCCAATAAATTTCATTCACTCCGCATACTCAATCCTATAGACACCCTTTTAATCCTTCAATCACAGACGTAACTCGATTTTACAAAACAGTCAAGAGTATTCAAACCCACTTCATTTAAAATCTCGATTCACCATTACAACACTGACTTCAGCAGCGATTGCCTCAGTCTTCCCAAAACTCTACGAAGAAGAAAAATCCAAATTCTATGTCTTTCCTTCCCCGACCCGAAGCATGAAGCTCCTCTCTCTAATTCCCTTGATCTTCAAAAACCTCCAATGAAAATCGAACTAGTAACCTTACAAAAGCTTGAAAACTAGCTCCCCCCCGATTCCCCCGAGAAAGAAAAAAAACCCCCCCTTCCTAAAACTATATTCTCCCCTAACCTTAGGCTCTGAATTTCTTCAATCTTCCATCTTAGATCCGAAATTGGCTCCCGCCGTCAGAGCTTAGATCCGAAATTGGCTCACGTCATCAAGGCCTTCTCCTCCGTTTTTACCTTTAAGAGATCCATTTACCGTAAACAACGTTCCCTGAAACGGCACAGAGAACAGGACAACCCGAAATAGAATCGAAACCCCGTAATCGGGACCACATTGAGTCGCCCGACCAATTCAGGTCCCATATTGGGTAAGATGCCCGTAGTTACCTGGATGCTCGCGTAATTGGGTCAAATTGGTCTTCGCATCAAACTGGCTGAGGCCAGTAGTAAGACCTAGATTTTCCCGTAACTAGACTGCATTGGATTGCCCCACCAATACAAGTCTCATATTGGGTAAGAGGACCCGGATTGGATTCTCGAAATTGGATCCAATTGGCTCTTCAAACCCGTCGTGTGAATTGGTCCTTCTCATCCTGCTAACTCCCGTTATTAGAATCGAATGGAGCATTTCAGTATGCCCCAGCGAACTGGAACGGGGTGACTGAACCTGACCACTCAGTATTTGCGCTGGAGTTGGTCGATGCTCCCAATATTCGAGGTAACTGAATATTAATAAAATTCCCCTTCTTCTTTTTTTTTTTTTATTTTCACTGTATACTCGTGTTACAACACGACACCGGATGAGATATTATAATTATCACAACCTTCAAGATGATGCAATCAAGATGAAGATCCTCAAGAATGACATGTTCTTCCTTGAATAGATGGTGAGATACAATGCATTTGATATCATGACCTTAGAAGGAACTTCCAATGTTTGGTGATTTTATTAGAGATGGAAACAACTCTTGACAGTGTTCCAAATGTTTTATTTGAAAGAAGTTATGAAGCCATCAACAACGATTAAATAATTGGGTGGTCTTTCAGCCCTAATATGGAACACTATCAATGGTTGAGAAGCCCTATCAATCATCTTTGAAGAGAACAAAGATCAGAGTATGTGGCAAATACAATTTGCCGCATCTTAGACTTCCTCGACATGTAATCACCGCTCCTTATAGAACTCGTCTCTAGAAGGGGGAATAATGTCAAAGACATATATTTATTGTAATTGTTACTTAGATAATATGAATAGGTAGAAGTAGGTAAAAGTAGATTAATTTCATAATATCTTCTTAAGAAGCTTCCTAGAAGCTTAATAGACGCTGCTTTGACTTTTCATGTATTTATACTTGATTGATAGGTTAGAAACTTGGTCAACAAGTTAACCACATGCCACACATGTTGGTAGCTTATGAAACAAGCTAACTATGTGGCGCCTACATAGGAAACTTGCCCTACAAATTAAGATACATGTTATGCAAAGTCAACATGTTTTGGAGGTTTTATAGAACGTCGCCTTGTAGCTCCTATATATATAGTATATATAGAGGTAAGAGTGAAGCCTTCTTCACTCTTGTCAACTTCTTTCTTGCTTCTAGTCTAGTTTCAAGAGTCTTTAGTTTTCTTGTCTTTTGGCAATAGCCACTTTAGTTTCTTTTTTAATATACATATTTAGTTATTTCTATTTTGTCATCTTTCTTTGAAAAAAGTCTCACTTATTTATTTATTTTTATCAAGTTCTTGTCCTTAACACATTTTTGAGAAGAAGAATGCAAATATTCTTCTAAATTATCCTTTTTGTGATTGCTAAATTGATTTGCAAGAAGAGGCTCAACTGCCATTCGGACCAATTTATAGCTTATTACAAAACAAGTTTACACTCAAGTAATACATTGACAAGAACTTAGCTAAGAACTTCATATATCATTTTAAATTTCTAATATAAGATCTTATGTTATTTGTAAAGAAAAAAGACGGATCTCTGCAGATGTGTGTAGATTATGAAGGATTCAACAAGATCACCATTAAGAATAGATATTCTTTACCTTTGATTATAAGACTTCTTTGTTCAATTCAATTGTTGTATTTTAAATTTCTAGGTATATAAATTATTCCAAGATTAAATAAATAAATATATATATATATATATATATATATTATTTTTACAAAATAAGATGGTTCATAGACAATTTTATCTAAATTTATCTAAATTATATTTATCTAAATAATTTAAAATTAAATTAATTTAATTTAGTTTTAAATTATATTTAATTAGATAATTTAGATGAATTTAGCTAAGAATATTTATCTAAATAATTTAGATAAATCTAATTTAATTTTTTTTGAGAATATTCATTTAAATAATTTAGATAAATTTTCTAAATTTATCTAATTTATAGTTCTTAGCTAAATTTATAATTACTTAGATAAATATTCTTAGCTATATTTTAAATAATTTAGATAAATGTAATTTAAACTATATAGATAAATATAATTTTAAATTTTAAATTTATCTAAATTTATCTATGAAATTCGCCTCTCGATGGTCCTTACCTCGCACATCAACTAATCTAGGCTTTGAATCCTAACCGGCGGATTCCGAGCCCTCATCGGACGGCCAAAAGGAGGGCCATGAACTAGCCTTAGGGTTGGAGGCATCGAAAGATCAGTCTCTTCAAACCCTCAAGCTTCTACCCTGCGAGATTTCTCTCCGTTGTTGCAGCCATGGTGAGTCTGATGCTCTTCCCCCTGTCCCTTCATTGCCTTCCCTGCTCTCTTGTCTCGCAATCCTCACTTACCTCGTCCTTTTATGTTCCGTTTTGAGCCTCCAATGCGTTCACTCTTGCACTTTTGGGTTTCATCTCGCAGTGAAATGGGTCGAAGGGGTTAGTGGAGCCATTCTCGATCGAGTTCCTTCATGAGTTGCGATCTGTTCGTAGTCGTGTAGGAGGACTTCCGTGACGTGTGTGGGTTGGCGCCTATTTTTTTGATTAGGATTTTGAGGTGTTGATTTGTTGTATTTGCAGGGTATCGACTTGAAGGCCGGGGGCCGCAACAAGAAGACCAAGCGCACCGCGCCCAAGAGTGGCAATGTTTATCTAAAGCTCCTTGTGAAGGTGATTTTAAAGAAGCACTTCCCATTTATCTGTTGTTTTGCAGAGGACGTGGATTTCTCGGAGTCTGATTTGAGATAAGGGTTTCCAACGTGGTTTGGGGTGATCGTGTTACTGATTGGGCCAGTGTTTTTCCCCTAAATTTTCTAACGTTATAATGTCTCCTTTCAGTTGTACCGGTTTTTGGTTAGAAGAACGGACGCTCCATTCAATGCAGTCGTGCTGAAGCGGCTGTTTATGAGCCGTATCAACCGACCTCCTATCTCCATGTCCCGACTTGTGAGATATATGAAGGGCAAGGTACAGCTTATGGATACATCCAGGATCTTGTGAAGACTGCAATTGATTTAGTGTTCGCGGTTCTGATTTCGTAATATTGTAATACTCGGCTGTTTTATTAGATAGAATCGCTATGTTGTCCCCACCTTCTCATCCGAAAGAGTGTATTTCCGTTTGAAATTGTTGAATGAGTGTGCTAATGGGTGGAGATAAGTTTTTACAGGAAGACAAGATTGCCGTTATAGTCGGGTCAGTCACTGACGACACCAGGATCTATGAAGTCCCAGCTTTGAAGGTGGCAGCTCTCCGCTTCACCGAAACTGCCCGCGCTCGCATCTTGAAGAACGGAGGAGAGGTTTTGACCTTTGATCAGCTTGCACTGAGAGCTCCAACCGGATCCAACTGTGTAAGCTTTCTAGCCCAAATCCCAGACGCTTTGTCCAGTCTGTTCTCATTTTCGATCCTCGTAAACCAACATTTTGCTCCTGGTGAGGGTTCTGCAGTCTTCGTGGCGTATTTTTGGAATTTGCAGTTCTTTTCATTTGTGGACAAGTGTTACCTGCCAAATTATTCCTTTTATATCTCGCGCAGCTTTCACCTATGAATTTAGGTTTGCAGACAGGTTTACTAGATTCACATATTGAAGTCTATTATATTTATGCTGGGTTGAGTTTCAACTCTGGTTGAGAATGATTTTGTGACTTTTTCCTATGTGAAGGTGCTGTTGAGGGGACCAAAGAATGCTCGTGAGGCGGTGAAGCACTTCGGAGCACCTGGTGTACCACGTAGTCACGCCAAGCCCTACGTGCGTTCCAAGGGCCGCAAGTTTGAGAAGGCTCGTGGTCGTCGTAACAGCAGAGGGTTTAAGGTTTAAACAATGCTCTTTCTGTGATAGAAGAAGTTACTTCTTCACACGCTTGTGTACGTTGAATTTTAATTGATTCAAACCCCATTGCACGCCCTATTTTATGTCATTATCTGCATTTATCACTACCAGTTTTCTTAATTGGTGTTTTTAGTGCGGTAAAACCATGCATCATAATCTGGGCACCAGTTCTATACATTTCTTGGATTCGATTTACCGCATTGTGCTTGACTGCCTAATCCCAAAAAACATTTGTGCCAGTTCGTGTGAGATCTTCTGCCCCACCACCTAATTTCATGTCGAACAGGGGTGAATTGATGTAGACACATATAAGTCTTCTTCATGCTTGGGATAGCATTAATGTGCACACTTGACATGGAATCGTGTTCTTGGTTATCTGCGGACTGTATTTTTAATAATCTACTCACGTCGTTTGCGAAGGCTAAGTGAATGCAACTAAATGTTACGTCTTATTATACTGAAGGCGAAGTATAACTGAATGCAACTTAATGATACGTTTTATTCAAGGCACATAATCTATGGCCTCGTCTGAATTTACTGGGAGTGCACGGACACGTCATTCAATGAAAATCTATCACATATTCTCCTTTAGTAGCAGTGTAGCTATGACTTCATTATTATTTGAACCAACGTAGAGTCAATTGTTCGCCTATGAATAAATTCTTGATGGGCAACGTTCACAATTGTATGTGTGAAGGAAGTTGTTTCTACCAGCTACTAGGCAACAATTTTAGAACGTTATTTACATACTTGTTTGTGTGCAATTACTTCTGAACATTCAAGCAATGTGTATTTTGACAAAATTTTATTACGACTAATCGAGATATACCACTTACTGTGATTACTAGATCACTGCGTGGGATTTATTTCTTTTCTATAACTTTTGGTACGTCTTCAGAACATGCATGAGCTTTATATATTTAACATATATTTTAGCCATCATTATGTCAATTTTTCACAAAACCCGCCACAGTGTTGCTTGAGGAATGTTCAACCTTACACAGGCCCCATGTGGACCACAGAATCAAGAATCATTCATCCACTCGTTCCAAGAAACCAACAATGCTCAACAGATTCTCATCCTACTGTTACAGCGCGGAACTGTCGCCTTATCCGAAACCATCTGGCAGTAGTGCAGAATGAAGGGGGATGTGCACAGGCAAGAGAGAAGCATCGAAAGGCGAAGGCCTTTGCAATTTTGCAACACTGGTAATGGCGATGGCGATGGCGAACATCATGGCGTCGGCCGCTCTGTTGCCGTGCTTCGAAGGCCTGCGGGCGCAGAGCTTGACCCAGAAACCCGCAGCCTCGGCAGCCTCCACGAGCGGCAGCCCTGCGTATCAGCCCCTCGCAGTGGTGGCGGACAAGCGCGTGCAAAAGCGGCGACAGGTCATCCTCACCGAAGACGTCGAGTACTTGGGCAAGACCGGAGCTCTGCTTGCTGTGAAGACCGGCTACTTTCGCAATTTTCTGTACCCGACCGGCAAGGCCAAGCTGGCGACGCCGGAGATTCTGAAGGCCATCCGGGTGGAGGAGCTGCGGAAGGAGGAGGAGCGGAAGGTGGTGAAGGCGGGCGCCGAGAGCGTGGCGAGGCTGCTGCAGAACGCGGGGATGTTGACGTTGCGGCGGAAGAGGGGAGGACAAGGGAAGCAGATATTCGGGTCGGTGACGTCGCAGGACATTGTGGACATCATCCGGGCGAACACGAAGCAGGAGGTGGACAAGAGGGACGTGACGGTGCCGGAGGTGCGGGAGATAGGGCAGTACGTGGTGGAGATAAAGCTGCACCCCGAGGTGACAGCGCAGGTGAAGATCAATGTGGTCGGGCAGTAGTGATGCGCGCTCCTCGATTTCGCTCATCTTCCTCCTTTTTCTTACTGCACAGTCGGAGGCAGGATCTTCTCAGGGCAACGGTTAGGGTTACACAGGTTTTAGGTCAGAACTTCACATGTTACTCGCGTGAACTCAGTTTTTTCAGGCCTATGTACTTTTTTTTGGCTTAGATTTCGCGACTCCTGTTCAGAATCAATTTTGAAGGTCCAGGATTTTCATGAATTTTTTCCAGGGTGTTAGGTTTAGGAATTACTGACTCGAAAAATTGTTGAATTGCGTACTCTAAATTCTATTTAGCACTCCTTCGATCCGCTGTGTTTCACTATTCAACCAGTATAAGTCCGTATTGTGGTCCATGTTTTGGCACTATTGGTCTTTATGGATGTGTCGAGGCATTAAGATTAGTTTAGGCTGTGAGGAAGTGACGCAATTATTCGATTTCTTTAATCTTCAGGCCAGTAATCTGCTGAAGGTTACTGTACATATGACCTCACCCACATTTTTAGATCACAGTCTAGGTGTTAATGTAGATCAGTCTGTCTTCAACATGATACAAGTTTCATACCTACTGGATTTTGGGATGACGTTTTGCAATAAGATTCTCTGGTTTTTGAAATGTTTCTACTGGATTTTAAGTAGAACTGAGATCGAGTTTTGCATGAGAGGATTCTCATGCTCAGGATGTGAAGTTTTGTCTTGTGGTTGGAATTGTTAGAGCTGGGGATAAGGCCATCTTAACCCCAGCTCTAATCCCAGCTCTAATAATTCCAACTACAGGAAAAAAGCATCTATTGATTGTGTGAATGATGTAGTTTTTTCCAGCTGGCTATGCTTTCCTTCATATATATATATATATATATATTTGCAATGAAGGTATGCATAGCATGAAGTATGGTACAGTGTGCTACTATTCTACACTTAAAAATGTCTGGTTTATAGCGTCCAATGGGTTGTTTGAAGGTATTGGTTCTTTAATTACTTCATTGTAATTTTTCTCATATTAAAAAAAATTATAGTTAATTTATTTCACCGTACAAATAACAAATTATAAACTGAGTTGGAATTCTCTTTACCTTTTCAATTTAATGTTTTGAACAGAGTATTTTTCCAATATCTATCTCTTAGCATTTGTGATATTGGGATCATTGGCAGTTTTTTCTTTTTAAAAATCCATAACTTCTCTAAATACACAAAGTATATCATTAGCTTACATTACAAGGAATGACCAACATTGTATTTGTGAGGTGAATTTCGAAAACATGTTCATTTTTTAAAACTTGTATTTATGTGTATAGTATCAACAGATAATTCTATTAAAATTAAAAAAAGAAAATAAAAGAAAAGAACGTGTATTAATGTATTATGATAGTTCTGATATAAGTATATAAAACCAAAGTAAAGTTCCTTGCAAAGTTCTTATAATTCATATAAAAAATAGATGTTAATAGAAATCTAGATATTTTTATTTGTTATAGCAATTTTTTGCATTATATTCCTAAAATAAACTCTCAATAAATATTAACCTAATCAATTTTCAAAGTTTAATTAGTTTAGAATTAAAAAGCCAATATTAGAATAGTATTCTAATAATTACTTATAAAATTAAATAAAAGTTAGGATTAACAACATAATAATTTTTTATCACAATAAAATATAATTATTTACAAGTATGGTGTAAATTAGAGAGAATTTTAAGCAATCAAAATAATATTTAAATATATATAGTAATAAAAATTAATACAATAAATAATATTTAATATTTTTACTAAATCTCTTGATTGATGTATATAAAATGAATTAGTAAAAATATTAAATTTATAAAATTGATAAAAATGACCTACCTATTCACTAAATTGATCCACCTTAAATTTAGAAAAGTAGATCATCTCTAGAAACCATCATTACAATTATGGCCATCATATCCACCCATCTTGTTCCTAATCCATGCTCCCTCCATTCCCAGCCTTCTCCATCTTCTCCTCTCCTACCTCTCTTCTTCTTGTTCCCAGTTGTATGAGCCTCAATTCAGAGTTCTTCTCTCTAATTGATGTGGTGTTGTCTTTTTTCCATCAAATAAGGCAATGAAACCTATAATTTTTTCTAAACAACTTTATATTTCAATTTCAATTTTACAACAATACAATCTTGCATTGGAACAATCAAACTTATTAAAGGTGAGACCAAGTTTGATCTCCTAGAAATGCAGAGAATCATATTAATTTTTTATCTACTCTAGCTAAATGAATATTTAATTTTTGCATGTTTGTTTGTTTTTTGTTTTGTTTTGTTTTGTTTTTGTTTTGTTTTTTTTTTTGTGTTTTTTTTCATACAATCTAATTATTTACATTGTTTTCCTTATACAAGAAAGAACAATCATTATCTTTGGCCTTATACTGCTTTTTTATATGCAAAGTTCATTGTCCTTTTTAATTAATATATATTGTAGATGTAATTTATGTTAGATCTTTTAACCACTAATTTTCTTATTCCAAAAATACCAAACTTGATTTGACTCCTACTCAATAGAATCCTAACTTTGTTTTGTTGATTCTTGTCTATAGCATCAAAGAAAAAGCTTGTCAATTACATTTAATCACAAATAAAGTTGTGGTTGAATGTAGTCCTTGAAACTAAGTTGCAATTGAAAGAACTTATGGTATCATTGAGCTCTTGGCTGGTTGTGGTTCTTGGGCTTATATTTGGTATCCACTTCCACAGTGTGGTAGCAATTTTGTAGTATTTTTGTGGAAGAATAGTATCAATATTGTCTTGTGAGGTAAAATGACAACTAATTGTATTGATACTCTCAATTCCAACTTCAAACTATGTTGTTCTCATGTACACAATTTCATTGTTTTTAGATTATTTTGAACAAACTTGAAGTTAGAAGTAGTTCTTAAACAATCCAAAAATTGCCAATAGTTTGTTTATGGAATAATTTTTGTTAAAAAATGAGTCTAAAAATATTTCAATGACTTATTGGTTTAGAGACCTTATTGAGGTAGAGTGTGAATTTTGCACTAATTGAGGCAGCGGCAAATGTTGACATTAGAGTTGTATAGAAGTTCAAACAAATGTAAGTCAAAGTATCTATTTGAGATACTTTTGAATTATTTTTTGAGGTGTTGGGCAATTACTCTCTACCACTATTTCTATTCTCATTCCTATTAAAATTATCTATATTTAATTGCACTAGATAAAAAAACCAATAGGATTCTTTATATTTCTAAAGGATTAAAATTGGTCTCAATAATGTTAATTAATTCAATGCAAGATTACATTACTGTAAACTTGATATTGGAACACAAAGTTATTTGTAAAACATTATAGGTTTCATTGTCTTATCAAAGGATTTAATATAGGAAAGATGATGCATTAGTTAGAGAGAAGAATATTACTACAAAGAATTCTTGACTAAGACTCATATAACTAGGAACGAAGGAGGTTGAGATGAGAGTTGAAAACAAAAGGGGGAGAAGGGTCAAGATGAAGAAGGCTAAAAATAGAAGAAGCATGGATTGGAAATGAGGAGGGTGGATATGAGGACCATGATTATAATGATGGTTTTTGGAGATGATTCATTTTTCTAACAATGGTTGCAATAAAGTGGATTAATTTAATAAATATATATATTATTTTAATATTTTTCTAAATTTATTATGTATTTTTATTTAAAAAATAAAAAATAAAAATCATATAAATAATACATACATAATATGTATTACATTCTTTAAAATCCTTCTATTTATTTTTGATTTATTTAAAAATAATCTAACAATCTATTTAAATACTTTATTAGAATTTTTTGAATAAAATACTATAAATTATGATTAATTTATTTTTAAAAATATTTACTTTATTAAAATTCAAATAATTTTTTTTTATCAATACAAACTTCGTTATATATAACTTTTTAGTAGTATATTCTAAAAAAATTTAGACCAAAGCTCTTAATTTTGAAAATAGTATAAATTTAAAATCAATTTATACAAATAAAGACATATTTACTTAATTTTTATTTTGTATAGCTTCTAAGCTATATTATATTCTTACTATAATCTTTTAGTTATTATAGCATAATTTTCCTATTCTTTTGGTCTTCTTTGTACTGATTTATTTGTTTGATATTTTTATCAATACATAAACTTGTATTTTTAACAAGTTCTCATTAATAATAATCAAAGATTTAAAATTTTAAAAATATAGGTGAATCAAAAAATTAATAGTAAATATTTTATTTTAAAGGTATTATAAATAATATAATATAAATCTTAATATGTAAAATTCAAAGATTACAATAATATAATTAATTTATTAAATTTAATAAGTTACAAAAATTAACAATTTCAAAGGAATTTTTTTGCTTTTATATTACGTATAATGTAATAAAATAAAAAAATCAAAATCAAAATAGTTATCTATTTATTTTTTTAAATGAAATAAAAAGATATTATACAAAGTATTTAAATATTAATAATCACCTATTTAAATTTGTCACAAGAAGTAAATAAGTTGTATTTACATAGTACGGTTATAAGAGTATCAAATATTTTTAAAACCAACAGTCTTAAAATAATTTTATAATTTGTACATTAGATGAAATCAAGATCAAAGATCATACAAAGTCAAAATTTGATGAAAGACTTGTATCTAAAAACTTATTATTCAAAATATAAGGTTAATTTCTTTTCTTATTTATTTTGTTCTTTTTGGATATTTTTTATTATTTTCATTACTTGTAGATGTTAAGAAAATTATCAAAATTAACAGTTATTTTCAAATTTTTCATCAAAATATCACATTAAAAAAATAAAATAGAATCAGAATAATTCAAGATGATTTAATTATAAAATTTATTTATTATTTTGAAAAATGATATATAGTATCAATGAAATAAATAAATAAAATTTAGTACCCATAAATATATATAATTATTTTTAAATAAGAGATAATATATTATAAATTTTTAAATTGATTTTTTGGAAACCTTAAAATTAATTAAATAATAAATAGTTATTAAGAATCATATTCTTTATTTGAATACTAATCAGAACAAATAATACTACAATTAACTTTGACAGCTAGAAACAAGAAAGATTTAATTCTCTTTTATTTTTGGATAAATTTTATATAGAATGTGTGTTCTTCTATTGTTAATTACCATAGAATACAGTCATGATATGCATCAATTTTTACAATCTTAGCTTACAGTACGTTAAAATAGGAGTTTCTAGGCATCTGCATAAAACATGAATGATTGGCATTTTAGAATAGAAACATAGTTGCTTTGAATACCTTACAAAGACCTTAGTACATTTTGATATTATTAGTTTTTTTTAATGAGTCTAAGATGTTTAGATTAAAAAGAAGTATAGAATCTTTATTTTAATAAGTAATCTTTAACATCTAAAAAATAATTTCAGATATAAATAAATATATATACATATGTATATAGATATATATATATATATATATCAAAACTTTGTGGCAAAATATAATAAATTAATTCTAAAAACTTTGTTTATTTTAGGGGAATATCAAATTGATCCAAATAATTTTTAAATCAATCCACTGTATGACTTTGTGGTTTCAAATTGCTCTAAGGCTCTTCTTGGCTGGCCTTAGTTCCTTTACAATAGATAGGTTTTCAACTTAAGCGACATGTTTGTTAATTTAACCAAACAATTTTGGGCACCCTCTTGCTAATAAGGTGCCAATACTTAGTATGTATTGTTCATGGCAACTAGAAAAAGCCTTGGGTGTTTGAACAGTCAAGTGTTTATGGTGCCATTCTGGTGGGTCAATTTAAAGTTTAGAAGGATTGGTTCAAAATTCTCCTTATTTTAACTTGATATAAATTTATAACATATCTTTAAATAGAATTTTCATCAATTTTAAAAAAGATTAAATTAATATTTAAAATTCTGAGGTTCTTGAAATCTCAAAGAATACTTTAGTGGTAATTTAAGAAATCATTTGTTTTATTAAAGATTGTCTTAAGAAACTGTATTAATTTAAAATTAGATCTTGAAGGACATCACTTAAGAGTATGATTTCCACATTGCTAATAATAATATAAAAACTCTGCCTATGGCAATTAAATTCTTGGTAGTGTAGTAATCTCATACAACCTTAAATATATGTAGAGTTTATTGCTAATAGTAAGAAAATTAAGACTAAGAATTAAAAAATGGCTTAAAAAGTTATAATTAATTTAAAAATATTATCTAACATAGAAATTGAAGTAATAATTAATAAAATTAGAAAATATTTCTAAAAAAATATTTATTACAATTTAACATTATTGAAAAAATATATTTGTAAATATAAGAGACCTTTAAGTTATATTATAAGTGTTTTAAAAAAATTAATTACAAGATATTTATATGAATATTGAATCATGGGTTTGAATATTGCTTTTGGTTCTAAGAAATTATAGATTATTATTAATGTAACTTAAATAAATTAATAAAAAAATAAAAAAATATACAATATATAGATTCTGCATATTTGCATATATCTGTATTAATGAAAAGTATATAATTGCATCTAAAAATAGGAAAAATATTTACAAATGTTAAAAACTATATCTATTATTTATTTATCGAGTGAAAAGAAATACTTTTTTGTGTCTTGACATAACAACTCTGTAAATCATATCATGCTCAAATATAATTATTACTTATTCTGATTGTTTTTTTTTTTTTTTTTTTTTTAATTCTTTCTGCATGAAATCATACGTCCATGCATGCAAAACAAGAAGATGAAACCTAAAATTTGAAATAATTCAATGTAAATGAGTTTGTGCATGACAGGGGTACCTGTTGGATTACATGAGCTCCATTCCATTTGTTTCCAACAGGTTCACCTCGTTTGTTGGTGTGAGCAATATGACACTAAAGCAACGAAAAATGACTTCCCCGACTCTCGTCCAGAATTCATCCAAGTATCGTCAAGATTATGACCGACGCTCGTCCAAATTTCGTCCTTATTTCGTTCGCAATCAACAAAGCCGAACCGTCGCCTTATCCAAAGCAACACGAAGGGGGAAGAGGGCGAGACCGGGCAAGGGGGGGACTGGGAGGGAGTGGGGGAAGGAGCTTATCACGGGGGCTCATCACGAACAATTCCTTTGCAGTTTTCAGCGATTTTGCAACACTGGTAATGGCGATGGCGATGGCGAACATCATGGCGTCGCCCGCTCTGTTGCCGTGCTTCGAAGGCCTGCGGGCGCAGAGCTTGACCCAGAAACCCGCAGCCTCGGCAGCCTCCACGAGCGGCAGCCCTGCGTATCAGCCCCTCGCAGTGGTGGCGGACAAGCGCGTGCAAAAGCGGCGACAGGTCATCCTCACCGAAGACGTCGAGTACTTGGGCAAGACCGGAGCTCTGCTCGCTGTGAAGACCGGCTACTTTCGCAATTTTCTGTACCCGACCGGCAAGGCCAAGCTGGCGACGCCGGAGATTCTGAAGGCCATCCGGGTGGAGGAGCTGCGGAAGGAGGAGGAGCGGAAGGTGGTGAAGGCGGGCGCCGAGAGCGTGGCGAGGCTGCTGCAGAACGCGGGGATGTTGACGTTGCGGCGGAAGAGGGGAGGACAAGGGAAGCAGATATTCGGGTCGGTGACGTCGCAGGACATTGTGGACATCATCCGGGCGAACACGAAGCAGGAGGTGGACAAGAGGGACGTGACGGTGCCGGAGGTGCGGGAGATAGGGCAGTACGTGGTGGAGATAAAGCTGCACCCCGAGGTGACAGCGCAGGTGAAGATCAATGTGGTCGGGCAGTAGTGATGCGCGCTCCTCAATTTCGCCTCGTTTGCTCTTTTACTCATTCTTCGATTTTTCGATGACGAACATTTTTTTTTCACCTGTCCATAGATTTCAGTTGAAGCTTCTAAACAACTTAGGTCAAGAATTCAAGTTTCTTTTAGTTGTAGACGCAATTTACTTGTGGCGGATGTGACTTTTGTGTCTAAAGCTCGGCTCCTTTCGAAGTCACATTTCTCTTCTGCATTTGCCATCTTAACTCTGCAGAGTCCGTCCAGGTTTTCCTCTGTTTAGATGAGTATTCTCTAACACTGCGACATGACCACCATTGTAGTCCGCGAATTGAGACTCAGCATCCCTTGCTGCATGTTGTAAAATGTATTCAATGTTACTTCATGAGCATCCTGTACTCTTATCGTAATTCTCCTTGCACGCGTGTTTTCTCATCATGGTTTGTTGCATGTGAGTTTACCATTGCCAGGACCTATGCTTTAGGGTTTGTACTAGTACTGTTGCACAATATGTCGAATTCTCCTCATCTTCAAAGCGTGTTTGGTTGAGCCGCGTATTCGGCAGAGAACCTTCATGCACCGAGCCTTGTGTAGCGTCAGTGACAGAATGTGGATGCTGTTTTCCTTGTGCAATGTGACAATTCCTTGATTTCTTAGGGTTTTCATTGTACGCTAAGATTCAGACGTTTCTTTTATAGTGTTTGTAAGGCGAGACTGGACATTCTATTGTTTCTATTGGTCATTTATAGTACTGGTCATATGCTTTCGAACCAAAATGCTGTGGTTCCAAATGTTTCTTTGAAAGAAGTGGAATGTTTGTCAACAGTGGTTGTATTGTTTCTGGATTGTTATGTAGCTTAGATTTTATGTGAGTCATGTATTATGATGATATGATGATACCTAAGGACTTAAAGATTGAACCAAGCATGCATTATCGTGTTTTACTGTAGAATGTACAATATAGAAAATCTATGGCTAAGAAACCCATGGATCGTATTGATTATACTCATGTGGATATCGATTAAGAAGCACAATTATGGCAAAACGATTTTTAAGGTAAGATTTTATTAATCTAAGATGTTCCATACAATGTTTTCTATTGCTAATCCACTCTAGTCTTGCAATAATCAATTGTTAAATGCATCAGATGACAATTTCAAAGTGTCATGATAGTAGAAGAGTCATTGCTGTTGCAACATCTTCATGTACATGTCTGTACTACCAATAACTGTTGATTTGTAAATAAGATGAGAAACTACCTGAATTAATGTGTGTATCTATCTATCTCTCTCTCTCTCTCTCTCTCTCTCTCTCTATATATATATATATATATATATGTGTGTGTGTGTGTGTAGATATGCACATGCATACATGCATACAAATTATGTTACTCTATCGTGTACAATGAAGCATCTTGTTAAACATGAACAATTGGAACACTTGTTGTTTTTCTAAAGTAAAGAAATGTCTCTGTTTGTGGGCATTCATTTTGTGCCTAATTTGTTCTGTTATTGTCCAATTTATGATTAAAAGCTCAATTTTGTTGTTGAAAATTTCATTGAAAAAAAATTTAAAAAAATTTAAAAAAATTAAAACATATTTCTGCAATGTGTTGTTTTTTTAAATATATTTTGTACTTATTTACTTTGAGCATTGAGGTTTATACATCAAAACTGCTTACAACTTTAAAACCTTAAATCATGTTAATTTTACTTTACAACTTTATAATACAAAAGATATTCACTAGTAAAATTGAAACTTGAATCGCTTATTTCTTTGAAAACACTTGGCTACAATTTAATTGGATTATTTATTAGTAAAATATGTTGTAGGTTAGTTGGTGTAGATACAATTTGAAATCCATTTAGGGCAGGTGTTAGGGTTAGGAATAGTGTTTTTGTCCAAACCTGACAAGGATGTTGTGCTGCATATCAAGAGCTCTTTGTAGTAGAATTGGATTCCTTGTGTGTTCTTCAATGGACATAGCTTCAACTCTGTAAGCAATCCACTTACATCTTTGTGTCGTCTAAACTGCATTACTATGAGTCTGATCTGTGCACATTTGTAATAAGTTCCAACACTCAACATCTTCAATTTTTAAGAAGCATCTTTTCATGAAGGGTGTTTATATATGTACATTCAATTTTTATCACACTATCTTTTATGAGATTTTCAAAAAAAATAAAAAAGAAAAAAAAATCATAAAAAATCATAAAAAAAAAAACTTTAAAAATCAGAAAAAAAAAATGTAACTTGCTTGCACAATTTTTATAGTCAAAAGTTAATAAAATTATTTCAAAGGATTAATTAAAGAAATTAAGTCAAAAAATGCACTATAAAAAAAATCCACTAATGATCCTTTGTGAAGATAGAATATTTAATAGATTAGAACCATAGATTTTTATTATATATATATTACACATTATACTATTCTTAATGTAATTGGTTTTTAATATTAGTTTTTATATTTCAAAAGAACAAAATACTACAATTTTTATCCTAATTTACTTATGCCTTGCTAAGTTGTAATTATGGATTATTATTTATACTAATATTTATGATTTATTATAGTTGAAAATCAATGTTTATATTAAATCCACTTTTAATACAGTGAACTTTGATACTTCAATATTACAAGAACATATAATATATAATGCATTTTGATTTGAGAATTTTGATTCTTTACATGGAACTATCAATATTTATTATTCTTCTTTGGATATAAGTAGTATATTATAACTCTAAAAATATTATTTAAATATCACCTAATAAAAATAAATTACCAAATATTATTAATTTTCTTATATAATAATAATTGTTTGAAAATTTTAATCAATTTTTATTTTAATATTTCTTTCTTTTAAATATATTTTTTTTAAACTAATATTTATTTTATTTTTTATTTAATTCCTAATGAATTAAAATTTAAAAGTTACCAAAAACTAATAAAATAAAATTACAAAATAATCTACACTTAATACTTAAATTAAAAGTGTAAGCAGCTTTGTTTTTAGTTGTTTGCATTCTTATATATTACATTAGTACACTTATTGAATTGGCATGTAAGCCTACAAAAATTAGAAAATATTACTATTATAAAAAATAATTCTATGCTTTAATTTCTACTATTTTATGTAATATTGTTTAGCTATTATTGTGGGTGCATGGAGGTTTTTCAAGTTTATCATATGCCAAAAAAATACTTGTAAATATTGAATATGTAATAAATGATTTGAAGCACTTTATCAACAACAACCACTTACTTATGGATAGCATTTTGTATTTATCATCAATTATTATTAGACTACATAAATATTTGCAATCTTCAATAATAGAAAATGCAATTTTCAACACCTACTATATATCCGTGCATGTCAAAAATGAAATTTATATTAGAATGTTGAAGAAATAATATCAAATTCTATTAGGGTTATGTATCCAAATCTAATATTAAAAGAAAAATATGTATTTTGAATACTGATACAAATTTGTTATATTTTGTGCAATACAATATTACATAATTATTGAAATGAATCATGGAATGATACAAACAATGGTTCTACTAGTTTATACAATAACAAAAGCAAAGATAATAGTATTTATAGTTTGATATCAGGGGAAAAAAATATAGTAAAAAAAAGATTATTTTTAACACATGATTTTAGAATATCATAAAACTGTTGATTAATTATTTTTTGATCTTGTACAAGATAGAATACACATATTACATACTGAATCTTTAAATAAATTTCTATATATAATGTATATTATACATTCAATTATATGCAATGCTTTATAATTTTAATGTTTCTTCATAAAAATATTTATAGTTATTCAAAAATATTAAAAATATAGATTTTTAGTATAGCATATTGAATGAATCAATATAAGTATAAAAAAATTAAATTTGACTATTTATATACTATAATACACATAAAATATTTTATTAAAAATTATTGGTGTATAAACATAAATATAATACATTTATTATGTATAGTTTGTAATTATCATTTATTATGTATATTACAATAATATCTTTAAAATCATATTTTAATGATAATAATTTTATTTAAATATTAAAAAATCAAAGAAAATATTACATTATAAAATTTTCAAAAATAAATTAAATTATGAAAAATAAAAAATCATAATTTCTGAAAATTAGGATTATAATATTTAGTATATAAAATTGTAAAAATCTTACATCTACCTACTTATAACATAAAAATAAAATAAAAATTGTTACAAAGTTTATTAAATGTTATTGTTGATTTCTATTATAGCTCAAAAGTTAAATTATAAATAAAAAACTATTATATTTAATTATTGTACAAGTCTATACAATATATTTTGCTATTCTTTGTGTTCATATGTCAATTAGTTTGTGTTGTGGTTAAGTACAACCTGTTTGGTTTAGGTATACTTGAAGTTTGCTATATTATTATTCTATTCTATTCTATTCTATTTTTAAAATACAAGTGCTTTTATGTTAGATATATTTTTAGATGGATATATCTTATTATATTATTGTTACTTAACTTATAAAGTTAGTCAATCTTTTATAATATATTTTTTTCTATTTAATAATAAACGCTATAGTTTTGTAAATTCTTCTAAACTCAATCTTCCAAATAGGTGATATTGTTAAAAAATAGTTAATACACTATTAGAAGTAACTAGAATTGCAATAGAAATTAGAAAAATAATATCAAATGGCTGGGATTTTGTCAATTATTTTATATCATGTAATGATACATAATAATTACATACAATACAAGATAGAGATACAAGTACAAATTCAATAAGAGATTAAAGACAAGATTGAAGATAATTTTTCTTGAAATATTTTTTCTAAGCTTTCCATAATTAAGGTTTAAATAAAAACCTACCTAACAAAATCAATCATGATTTATAAGATTTTAAACACATATATTTTTTTGTTAATATTTTTGTCAGATATATTTATTTAAAAACTCATATTGTTGTTTTAATGATTTTAAATGAAATAATCAATATATAATTTTAGAATGCATTAGTTATACACCTGATAGTTATATTACACTTTATTCCATAGATGGGCATTCATAATTGAAATTCTACTACAATTAATGTAAGCCTCAATTAAATAATTAATATTTCATATAATAGAAATATATTTTATATATAATTTCTCAACAGTAAATTCATACACTAGATACACTCAATATAATATGAATAAAAAAATAACAATTATATACCTATTATTTTATATATTTTTGTAAATTAAATAATTTAATAAAAAAATAAAACTTATATTATATCAAATCAATAAAAAGATATAGTAAAATTGTTGTAATTATTTTTAATTTTTACTTTTTGCTTTTTAATGATATTATTTGATTTTCTAAAGAATAAAATTAAAATGCATAAT